TCAGAAAAACACACAGCCTCAAAAAAAAACACCCAAAGAAAACTGATGCAATACAGCCAAGCATGAGGTGTTTGACAGGCATCAGTGAACATGCATATATGCAAGTGTGGTTATAGTCACATTTAAAGATGATAAACAATAGAAGGGGAAATATTTTATGTATAAGCTCCATACAGTTACACATCACAAGTATAATTCTCACATATTTAATATATTCAGCTTTAAAAGTTGTCCCAATATACAAAGGCTGCCATTAAATAACTGTTGTGGGAAAAGTTCACCATGTTAACTCCTCATTTCTCGACCTGCATCCTTCATGTAAAGCTGAGATCAGAAGTTCTTGTGGATATGAGCAAATATCAGAGAGCAGAAATCACTCATCTGTTTAAGTGCTCTGCAGAACACTGGTCAGTACTTAGAAAGATCAGACCATAGACTGAGGCTTGGGTCCAAATCTGACTCCTGACACTCTCACATTGTTTGCACATTTGTGTGGCTGCTGTTGCAAACTGTTACTCCAATGATGCAGTGAATCAGTACATTAAAGCAGAGCACTTTCTTTGAGTCTATTATGGATTTTTACATGACTTTACAAGTCTTTTATAATTAATTATCTTGATTTTTGTTGTTAAAAATGTTAAAACAAAATGAACACACAGAACTAAAAAGATAAGAGGAAGTATTTTAGAAATCTTGTTATGAATTCTTGGATCAAATTGATTTTCCAGCAGGTGATGGACAAGAGCAAAATATCAGATAATATCAGTATGAATCGCTATTAATAACTAAGTTCCTGTTTCACAAACATGCCCAAAGCTTGCCAGTGTATTTCTATCTGACAGCTTAATTAAAAAAGACTCATTCAGCAGTTGGAGGTGTGACTCCACACTGAGTTACATCTGTCATGGGTTGAGGAGAACATTGGTAGTCTACAGATGGAAATACCTTTTCTACATCAAATAATGAAAGTTTCTCTGTAATAGAAACTCTCACAGAAAATATCATTACATTTGACAACATGCAGCACAGCTTTGTGAAGAAGGACTCACACTTCAGCAGAACATGCTTGAAACAAGTCCGTGGACTTCTAACCTTAACTGGCTTTTCTCCAGTCACTGGACCTCACCTCCAGTGGACATTTATGGGGCACTTGACGGCATACCTGATATCACAAGAAGCCAGCGCCAGATCATGCTGATATATCATTGGCTATCAGTTTTGCAGCCTTTCACTCAGATTTTTAAGCTCAGCTTATATGACGTTTAGCATGAAATTAGACAAATGCAAAATAGTGTAAAATGTTTAAATGACCCATCCATCTAGGGTCACAGGTCAGGATCACATCAAAGTGTGCAATAGACACTCCGGTGCACCGCTTCCATGTCACCCTTTGCCTCTCCAAAACATGAAATAGACAACCATGCAGACGTTACAGTAAGTTGCAGTAATTTGCAGTAATTTGCAGTAGCAGAAGAGGGATTTATTTGATTTCAAACATGAAAATAACCATGGGAAAGTGTTTAAACAGACATTTTTAACATATTTATATGTATATAAATTTTAGCTGTCTAGCAAAATCATCTCAGGTGATGAAGGATGACGCCAGAATCTACTGTATATGTGTTTTTGCTAATTACCAACTTGGCTTTAAATATATTATCTCCCTCTGCTGGAAATGCATGCAGAGGTTGTGAGTCCATTTCAGTTTGGAGAAGCGCCAGACGGACACAGTGGACCGGCGTGTCTATTACACATTGTGCTGTGATACTGGGTCGCACAGGTGGGCCAAGCCTATGTAAGCTGGCAGTGGATAAAAGTGCAGGGTACAAAAAAATAACTATAAAATATCCATATTAAATAGTAATATTCCAGCACCTAGGGCACTGGGAAAATCCCCCATAATGACCTGAACTCAGAGCCCCAGTGACTATGGAAATTTGTTCTGGTGATACAGACACCTGGAGATGTTTGGACACATGTAGCTAAGTTTGTCTCAGTCAGTATAGTTCAGCTTTACTGTAAAAACACAAACAGTTTTTACTATTGTTCCAATCACTACTGTAAGTATGAGACAGTACAAGCAGTGCTTTCAGGTTGCACAGGTAGTTTTCCACCACGATGGCACATGCATAGGTATAGCTGCACAAAGGTTTGGTGTTACATGAGGAGGATAGGGCTGCAGAAAAGCATCAAACAGGACCAGTGTCTGTTTCTTTGTGTAAGGTGGAACAGAACAGACACTGTCAGTCCCAGAAAACGATCTCATGCACATTCCTGACCAAACAGACTCAGAAATGGAGTCCATGGGAGTGAGCACCATAAAGGGCTCCATAAAGGGTCCATGCAAAGCCTCCTGGAGTGAAACAGAAGATGAAAGTTAATGTGATGGTTAATAAATAAAACGTTTGAACCCAAAAGAAGACTTGCAACCCCCAATACAACATGCACACTGGTAATGTGCCTCATTTTTGTGCAGTCCTTGATGATCTTATAGGGTTTTCACAGAAAAGCCGCAGCTACGACGAGCATAATTATTTAACATGTTTTATGTTTACAGTGGAAATACACCCTCTGACATCTGTACTGTAGAAGTCATATAATGCATGAAGAAGTGTAGGGAACGCCTGAACAAATACATGTAGTTAGTAAATATAATATCTATAAATAATTAACATGTGTAACAAACAAATCAATGGACAATCTGCTAACAAATTAACTGAAATGTAATTTTAACATCCTTTTTACTAATCATATAAAATTTGAGATCTAAACTTTAACTGGTTTTATATCTTTTATTTATTAAATAAACATTTCATGTCAGTGAAATGATGCTAAACTGAGGCGTGTATTTTTACTGCGTTTTCAGGTGAAAATAAACTGCATTATTATAAACAAGAATAACAGGAGAAATTTATAAGATAACTTCTGTTACATGTTTTTTACAGTGTTGATATGTTTCCAGTCCATCAGAGGAATAACATTAAATAACATTTTTAAATCTTTTTTTTTTAGGAAAAATGAACAATACAAAGACTATTTGTACTGTACTTTGTGTTTAGGTGACTGTTTGCAGGTTTCTTTGTGTATCAAACACATTTGTTGTTTTTGTATCCACATTTGTTGTAGAATAATACTCACGAGTATCATTTTGTAGCTCAAAGCATTCTCTCTCTGTGTGATTACTCAACAACTCACTGTTTCTTTAAGATAAAAAAAAAAACAGGAAAGATGAGAGAACAAAAGCACTGAGTCAATGTTATTCCATCACTGGCCCTGTAATAAAAGGTGCTGCTCGACTGAACTCGTTCAGTTGCTTTTCATGAAATGTTCAGTGTCAATTAGAGGAACAGAGAAAACAAAGTGTTAACTTATTGGCTAAGACATGAACACAAACAAGGGGGAAAGGGTGGAAGAAAGTATAGAAACAACATGCCATGAAAAATGATAACATTAACAATATTTATTCCAAATATCCTGTTCATTCTTTTACAGAGTTTGCAAAAAGGTTGCATGTTTTTGTTGTATATAAGATCTAGAGTTCTTATACTATCACAACAAGAACTATATATACTAGAAACAACAAGAATGCCGAAGATGGCGCGGCCACGTCCAGACACCTTCCTGACCGCTCCGCTCCAACTATCAACTTTTCTCGGTTTTTTTGCTCTGGTTTACATTCCAAAATCCTCTAGTTTTATAGTATACGACAGCAGATCACTTATTCACTTAATGAGAGGACCCGAGCTTGAAGGATAAAGACCGCCTGCAGGGGCGAGTGCAGATTTTTGTTTTTTACCCTTAATTGGTTACCTGATACAAGATATAAGGTATGTGACATTAGTGTCACACTAATGTCAGACTTATCACCCAAAACACTTTGAAACATTGCTAGATGATGGTCAGATGAAGACAGGTGTAATAAACTGTACTACAAAAAGAACTTACTGAATGTAACTGTACACTCAAAAAAATAACTCTTTAAATGAACATAAAAAAATCATGGAAAGAATTTCCACGCGATTAAATTGCTTTATTTTAGCATTATGAAATTCTGTTACTCCAACTTAATGCACTCAAGTTGGACCAACTTAATTAAAGATTGATGAATCAACGTATTTACTGCATTTTGATCCAATATATTTTAATAGTGTTGATCCAACTTAAAGAGTTTTGTTCCAACTCAATTCAGTAGGTTTTCTCCAACTAATTTACTAAATTTGGTCCCAGCTTAAGTTAATTGAGTTGAACCAACTCATACAAATTAAGTTATTCCAACACAAGTCTTTAATGTTAATAGAAAGCAATTTAATCACGTGGAAATTCTTTCCATGATTATTTTAAGTTAATTTAAAGAGTAATTTTTGGAGCATTTAACAAAGTCTAGAGTCTGGTTAACATACATTTCACTATTACATCTAAAAGGTAAATTAAAATTTGTCATACACATCTTTTTGTTTTCTCCAATTTATTGTATTTATAGCAAATTTCACATAATGTATAAAGAATACATGAAATGCAAGTACAAGTTACATAACAGAAAAAAAAGTAGTGGACAAAGTGGAAAGTTAACCTGTTAAAACAATTTTTAACAACAATGAATGGCTGAATCAGGTGATTTTCCGATGACCAATACAACTACTTTGAAGGTCAACAGATGCACTTTCAAAAAAGAAAATATCTGCAATTATTTTAGGTTCATGATCCAGATACATGGTGTAGCTGTTGTAATGGAAACATTTCTCAACGAGAAAATAGTGTTTTGAGAACCTGTACTTTGTGTGCTGTTGAATTGTTTGTGTGCATCTAATTCCATAAGAATCTTCTGCAGGACCTCAAAGGTGTACCTGAGTTCCAGAGGGTAGCTCAGGTTCAGTGAATAGACCAGACCAAGCAACATTGTCACTGCAAAACTACATTGCCCAACTCACCCATCACTTCCACCCCCTCTAGAACAATCACAACATCCTGAGGGTCATCGCCAGGCTCCACACCCTCTGACCGAATGACACAGATTCCAAAGACTGTCTCTGCTATGGCAGTGGCGATGCTTGTTATCAACTTCCTGTGACAATAAAACAAACAAAAAAAAGATAATGATTTCTCACTAATGTCCATTGCAAACAGTTTTAAAAGTAAATATCTGTTTTACATTAATGTAAAATACCTAAAAGCTTTATTCATTCAAGCCTTATAATAATGTAAATGTAATCAAAAATGACTGCCCGATATTTTTCCTCACTCAAGAGAAGTTCATTCAATACCTCAACAATGTTCTGTCTTTCAAAATCTTGAGTTGTGATAGGGGTGACTGTGGCACAGGAGGTAGAGCAAGTTGTCTACTGCTTTAATCCCTGGCTTCTCTAATCTGATACTAAAACTATCAATGGGTAACATACTGAACCCCAAGTTGCTCCTGATACATCCATTGAAGTGTAAATGTTACATAAAAATCTTGTATGAATGAGGTTGTTATAATGATATTATAATAATGATAGTATAAAACACTCAAGAATGGTGTGTGTAGTATCCAGTGAGAAACTTAAAGCTCTTACTTTTCCTATTTTAAAAGGTATTTTTTACAGCCACCGGTAATTTATAGGAAAACCCCATCCCCTGAAACTTTTTGTATGTAGTTCAAGCTTATCTTTGATCATCTCCTTAGTTAAGGATACAGGCAAGTTAACATACCAGGTAATCCTTCACCAGCTTCTCAGGATCTTCATTCAGGTACACGCAAAGACCTTTGGCGATGTATTCTCTTCTGATTTCAACAGCATCAGTCTTTATACACAGAGGGGGAAAAAAACAAATATATACGGAAATCCATCTCAACGACCTAGCAGTGGGATTAAAGAACTTTTAGTTGAATTACCAGGAATTTGTGAGAAATACAGAGGCTATTGTTTTACAGTCTTAATATTTTCAAATAGTATTTATGCATTTTAGACAAGTCTGTCATTCTAATATTGTTTTTTACTTTGTATTAATTTAATCATGCCATACCCCCAATTCAAGAAAGTTTAGATGATGTGTACATAAAATCAGAATGCAATGTTTTCTTGGTCTCAAAACTATATGTCACTTACAAATGAATATATTACATTTTTAACATGGGAATGTGATCATTTTTAAGAAAAATATTAGCTCACCATGAATTTGATGAACTGGCCTACCAGCTCTCCAGACCTTTCACCACCTGATAAGATTAAACATGTATTATCTTTACAGGAGGGAACTGCAAGTCTCCAAGTTTGTTAAGTAGAAAAATATTTAATTTCAAAAAAATTAAAAAACAGGAAAACTTATCTGTTCATGTTTTGTCTTTCCTCCTCAGTGTACTAAAAACACATAAATTGTTAAATAAACCACTGTCCATCAGTTGCAACTTACAAACTTACAAATTTCAACAACCCACACGTAAAATGTAAATTTATCACAACAGTCTCTGTGGTAGAGCCAAACTAGCTTATGTGCAGAGGTTAAGTTATAAACAATATCTATATTTGGAGTAGCTAAGTCTTTCATATTAGGCTATCATGCTAGCATGACATTGTGCTATATTCTTGCACTAACATGTTAGCTAGCTAGAATGGCATAAACAAACAGATATTTTTTAAAAAAACAAAACAAAAAAACAAATGTGAATAAATAGAACTGAAAAGAATCGACAAACTAATGATACCTTTGTGCAAAAAGTATTTTCATCAAGATGGATGAAGATAGATTCACTCTTACCTTTCCAAGATGACCGCGAAGCAAACCATGTGCTTTCCTGCCTCTTGTTGTTTAGAATCTCACGTGATCTTGTGATATCGCGAGTCTTTAAGGCAGCTAACCACTCTTGTTAGATTTTATCATGTCATATCAACAAGAATAAATTTAAAAGGCGGTAAGTTGGTAAATTTCATGTAGATCTTATATGATTTTATTACGTTCACCTTAGAAACATAAATTCATTGTGTTCAAATTACATGTTAGAGTCTTGTAAATGCAATAACCACCAAATTTCACTTTTTTGAGTGTAGCTGATTAAAGCATGGTCAGTTTTTTTCTACAGCCACCACAGCTGGACTGGCCATCGGGCATACCGGGCATTTGCCGCTGGCGATTTTTTGTTTTTATGGGCCGATCAATTTTTTTATTTTTTTTTTTTGGAAGGGTATAAATAATGAAAGGTGTTGGATTGGCCAATTGGTCATGATCGACTCTGGGCTGGACCAATTACAGCCGAGGAGGTCGGATGCACCCTCCCCCTTGTTTAGTAATCTTATAGACAAACTAAAGAAAATGGAGAACAAAAAAAGGAAAGGAGGTGCAGAAAAAATTAGGGCCAAAAAGAAACAAGCCCTTCAGGCAGACGCTGCCAAATGTGTAAAAATAACTGAATTGTTTGGCAGTAGCTATGGCATAGCTTCCACAGATTTAGCAACATCAGCAAGTGGTGGAGGCCAGAAGGGTGGATGAGGGAAAGGGGAGGCAAGAGGAGGAGAGACCCGAGGCGGCCGCCGGTCATAGTGGCAGAGGAACTGAACTTCAGGTAAGAAGTTATGACCTGCTGTCTATCTGTGTCAGATATAAACCAAGTTTAGTTGTAGTTTGTTTTCGTTGTGCTGACTTTTTACAGTCGCTTAGAATAACTGGTACTGCGTACTAGCTAGCATGACGGAGTTTATATACTGCTGGGCGGGTGCTATGAAGTTACTGATAGTAAATTTTATTTTATGCTTAAGGTAGTTTCTCAAACTCTTCAAAATCTTAACAAATTGTGCCAATCCTTACATGTTGCACCAGGCTGATTTATCATCAAAAGTGGAGAAGTCTGTGACAGAGGAGACAGAAGAGCAGCAGAGAGAGATGGAGCAAGAGAGAGAAATAAAAGAGCTGGAGAGAGAGATGAAGATGGAGAGATGACTTTATGTCATCCATGAGGGATGCATTTGACATATGTTTCACATATTATAGCCCAACAAGTTACTTATAGCAATTTAAATACGAGCAATCAGTTTTTGGCAAATACCGGAAATCAGTTTTTGGCAGGCAATCACTTTTTGGCACAACACCGGCTATTGCAGTTAATAATACAACAGCTTCTTGCCATTTTTTGTGTTTCTTTTTATCGCTGTGTAACTGAGTTCAATTGAAAGCCTGCATGCGCTAGTACCTCTTGCCACAAGTTCCCAGAATCCTTTGCAGTTTTACCCCTGAATGACATCACATTTTTGGTGGGCCGGTCTCTAGTCAAAATGCCCGGGCCAATTTTTTGTCCCAGTCCAGTCCTGACTGCCACCAAAAGAAATATGCCCATAAATGTGTGAAAGTGCCTCCTGGAAAAATCTGAAAAACTTTAGAGTACAGCAAAAAAAGTTTAACAGGAAAAAATATTTCAGATTAAATGTTGTGTTTTGTAACTGTTAGCCACACAGTGCCTCGTGTTGCGTGTGCTAATAGGCCTTTCACCATTTACAATAAACCATATTCCCACTGCAATGAAAAACCTAATTAGGATCTGTTCACTGAAATGTTGCCAAGGAGCGAGAGAGACTAATACCTGTGAGGCTACAGGCATAAAACTGTACCTTGAAAAAAAAACTATAACAAAATGATTGGCAAACATTAAACTGTATTCTCTGTGAGAAAGTTTGTTTGTTTGTTTGTTTGTTTGTTTGTTTGTTTGTTTGTTTGTTTGTTTGTTTGTTTGTTTGTTTGTGAAATGACAGATTCTGTTGAAATGTTTCAGGAAACAAAATGACCACTGCTTGTCAAAAAGTGAGAACACACAAAGTTCAGGGAGCCTCCAGAACATGATTGGCACTCCCCCTGGTGGCCAGTGTTCAGATTAACGTTTCAACCAAAGGAATTTATCTATGTAAGCCATAAAAATATTTGATGCACTTAGAATTTTAATGTTACTTTTGCTGTCAGTACCAGAAAGTAACACAAAAAATTTATAACTGGAAGCTTGTCTCAAAGGAAGGCCATGTGTAGAGAGTCCTTATTACCTTAATATTTATACAGTGACCGTTTGGATTTATTCCTTTATAAACAACTCTTCACATTATTACCTCACATAAGGGGTGCAAACAGATGAAGATACGTAGCACTCGGACCATAAAAAATATATTCAAGTACCAACAGTCTTATTTACACTAAGAAACAAAACAGCTCCTTTTTTTTGCAGTCTAAACAAAACACTCCTTCTAGTTCTTATTTCTTTTCTTCACTAGATCTTCAGTCTAATCTCAAACGTGCAATCCAGTCCAGGATTTCAGTGCTTCTGTAGCATCCAGGTGAAAGTCTGCACATTTCAGAAGGTTACAGGAAATATAGATGGAGTCTTCCAGCAGACACATGCCTCCAGCACCTTCCTGTTAAAGGGATTAATCAACTTCTTTGCCAGCTTTGCTCGTAATATACGATCTGTGCATATTCTGACCTCGAGCCACTGCTGTCCCCACCTCAGCTGGCATCTCCTGCTGTTCTCATGGGTGTGTGTCTAATGCTTGCACCAACCAGGAACAATCGGTGAGTTTTGGGAGGGTATGTGGGCGTTTCCAGGCATGTTTAACAGGCTGTCACAACAGTTACTCATTAAAGGAACAGCTGAGCACTAGTTATTGAACTCTTCGCAAGAAATTGTCAAAACCCTTCAAAGAGCAGAGCAATAGTGGAAGAATCAAAATCCCAGAAGACAGATTTGGATACACTCTTCTGTTTTCATAGCAAGTCCTGTTGCAATGCAAATTACTCATGTAGAATATTTGCAGTTGAAGTGTTGAACTTGTATTTGGAAGCTGCTGATCCGAACTTTCAATATGAGTTCCAAAGAGATGTGGTTACAATTATAGGAGCTCTTCACTCGAATAAATAAAACAAACTAACAGAGGGCCAGTGCTGCAACAGCAAAAAGTCTGGAAGATTGTCCAAGTGGAGGATTGCAAATTACTGCTTTATAGCACCTAACCAGATCAAGAACACTTTATAATACAGCTGAAATCTTAAGCTCCATGTAGTGCAGCTTAAAGTGCAGCTGCACTGGTTCTCACGTGGTGTTCATTCAGAATTCACCTACTTTTTTTCAAGTTTCAATTCTTTACATTTCTGTTTTGATCTTTAACTAAACACACGCTGTAAGCTGCAATTTCTTTATTAGAAGGGCAGCGTCAACAGATCCTTTCCAGTACTGCACCTTCTGGATAGCAGTCTGACAAAATGACAGCTATCTCACTTCTTTTAACTTCTTTGGAAGCTAGCATATGTTATAACTGACTTTGACACTTGGAATGAAGTGTCTGATGACTCTGACATCAGAGCCATGCTCTGATACTGATGAGATTATGCGTCTAATCTGACATGTGATGGTTTCTATGAAATAGTGCAAATCAGCAAAGTTTCTTCAAGGAATACTTTGTTGATTTCGTTTTGACAAAAATCAGGCAGTAGATGCATTTTTCAACATCTTGCAAAGTTGTGCACCGGAGTGTCTATTGCACACTTTGATGTGACCCTGATCTGTGACCCTAGATGGATGGGCAAAGTTACATTCGCTGAGAAAATGATGTGGGAAACAGACTGCAACCATCCTGCTTCTTGCTCGTTTTCACACGTTGTATTTAACTCTGCTCTTTTGTCTCTTCTCTCTCTGCTTTGTGCAAATGATTTCCTATATACTGCATCTCTTTGTGGTATCACTCTTCCCTATAACAAAGGGCAGCGGTCGGTTGCTGCTTTAGCATATATATATATACATATATATATGTATACATATATATATATATATGTATGTATACACATACACATACACGTATATATATATATATATATATATATATATATATATATATATATATATATATATATATATATATATATATATATATACATATATCAGAAAGCCAGTGTTTCAGTGTTTTGTTGCTAAACAGAGACAGACAAAGAGTGTACAGTCAACCAGACAGCCAGTAGTGGGTAATGTGGGCTAAAAAGGTCAGCACAGCTGATGGCTTCATCCATCTAAAATGGCAGCTGACCTGCGAGAGTGGGTTCAGGGTCACTGTGGATGAGACTGGGATTTACAACAAGAACAGACGTTCAATGCAAGAATGCAGAACAGAGCGTTGATTTATTTTTGTTTCTTTCTGACGTTATTCCCCTAAGTTTGTGCTGTTTCATGAGGACAGCTTTTTCTGTTTCCGCTTTGTGTTTACATTTCATTAAGTTG